ATAGCAATATCTATTTGACCCCCCTTACAATTGTTTACGTCTAACCCAGATCTTCGCTGGAAAAGAAGTCATAGTACTGAAGACCAGTACATATCAAGCAAGTTCTTCCCGGGGACACATCCATGGCCGTTGCTGAAGCAATTTTAACTCAGATGTTCTTGAGGAGACAGACATTGTTTCCTGAAGACTAATTCTAAGCGTGATCTTCGCCGGGAAACAGACTTCGGTTACTAAAGACTAAATTCTAAGCCTGACTTTAAGGGGAGACAGACATCGGGTGCTGAAGACTAATTCTAAGCCTGACTTTAAGGGGAGACAGACATCGGGTGCTGAAGACTAATTCTAAGCCTGACTTTAAGGGGAGACAGACATCGGGTGCTGAAGACTAATTCTAAGCCTGACTTTAAGGGAGACAGACATCGGGTGCTGAAGACTAATTCTAAGCCTGACTTTAAGGGAGACAGACATCGGGTGCTGAAGACTAATTCTAAGCCTGACTTTAAGGGGAGACAGACATCGGGTGCTGAAGACTAATTCTAAGCCTGACTTTAAGGGAGACAGACATCGGGTGCTGAAGACTAATTCTAAGCCTGACTTTAAGGGGAGACAGACATCGGGTGCTGAAGACTAATTCTAAGCCTGACTTTAAGGGGAGACAGACATCGGGTGCTGAAGACTAATTCTAAGCCTGACTTTAAGGGGAGACAGACATCGGGTGCTGAAGACTAATTCTAAGCCTGACTTTAAGGGAGACAGACATCGGGTGCTGAAGACTAATTCTAAGCCTGACTTTAGGGGAGACAGACATCGGGTGCTGAAGACTAATTCTAAGCCTGACTTTAAGGGGAGACAGACATCGGGTGCTGAAGACTAATTCTAAGCCTGACTTTAGGGGAGACAGACATCGGGTGCTGAAGACTAATTCTAAGCCTGACTTTAAGGGAGACAGACATCGGGTGCTGAAGACTAATTCTAAGCCTGACTTTAAGGGGAGACAGACATCGGGTGCTGAAGACTAATTCTAAGCCTGACTTTAAGGGAGACAGACATCGGGTGCTGAAGACTAATTCTAAGCCTGACTTTAAGGGGAGACAGACATCGGGTGCTGAAGACTAATTCTAAGCCTGACTTTAAGGGGAGACAGACATCGGGTGCTGAAGACTAATTCTAAGCCTGACTTTAAGGGGAGACAGACATCGGGTGCTGAAGACTAATTCTAAGCCTGACTTTAAGGGAGACAGACATCGGGTGCTGAAGACTAATTCTAAGCCTGACTTTAAGGGGAGACAGACATCGGGTGCTGAAGACTAATTCTAAGCCTGACTTTAAGGGAGACAGACATCGGGTGCTGAAGACTAATTCTAAGCCTGACTTTAAGGGGAGACAGACATCGGGTGCTGAAGACTAATTCTAAGCCTGACTTTAAGGGGAGACAGACATCGGGTGCTGAAGACTAATTCTAAGCCTGACTTTAAGGGGAGACAGACATCGGGTGCTGAAGACTAATTCTAAGCCTGACTTTAAGGGAGACAGACATCGGGTGCTGAAGACTAATTCTAAGCCTGACTTTAAGGGGAGACAGACATCGGATGCTGAAGACTAATTCTAAGCCTGACTTTAAGGGGAGACAGATATCGGGTGCTGAAGACTAATTCTAAGCGTTATCTTCGCCGGGAAACAGACATCGGGTGCTGAAGACTAATTCTAAGCCTGACTTTAAGGGGAGACAGACATCGGGTGCTGAAGACTAATTCTAAGCCTGACTTTAAGGGGAGACAGACATCGGGTGCTGAAGACTAATTCTAAGCCTGACTTTAAGGGGAGACAGACATCGGATGCTGAAGACTAATTCTAAGCCTGACTTTAAGGGGAGACAGATATCGGGTGCTGAAGACTAATTCTAAGCCTGACTTTAAGGGGAGACAGACATCGGGTGCTGAAGACTAATTCTAAGCCTGACTTTAGGGGAGACAGATATCGGGTGCTGAAGACTAATTCTAAGCCTGACTTTAAGGGGAGACAGATATCGGGTGCTGAAGACTAATTCTAAGCCTGACTTTAAGGGAGACAGACATCGGGTGCTGAAGACTAATTCTAAAGCCTGACTTTAAGGGAGACAGACATCGGGTGCTGAAGACTAATTCTAAGCCTGACTTTAAGGGGAGACAGACATCGGGTGCTGAAGACTAATTCTAAGCCTGACTTTAAGGGGAGACAGACATCGGGTGCTGAAGACTAATTCTAAGCCTGACTTTAAGGGAGACAGACATCGGGTGCTGAAGACTAATTCTAAGCCTGACTTTAAGGGGAAACAGACATCGGGTGCTGAAGACTAATTCTAAGCCTGACTTTAAGGGAGACAGACATCGGGTGCTGAAGACTAATTCTAAGCCTGACTTTAAGGGAGACAGACATCGGATGCTGAAGACTAATTCTAAGCCTGACTTTAAGGGAGACAGACATCGGTTGCCAAAGACTAACTCTAAGCCTGCCAAAGATATTAACGGGGAGGCAAACGTGGGTTGCTGAAGATCAATCTAACCCAAATATTCACGGGTAGACAAACATGGACTGCTAAAGACCAATTCTAACACAGATCTTCACGGGGAGACAAACATGGGCTGTTAAAGACCAATTCTAACACAGATCTTCGCGGGGAGACAAACATGGACTGCTAAAGACCAATTCTAACACAGATCTTCGCGGGGAGACAAACATGGACTGCTAAAGACCAATTCTAACACAGATCTTCGCGGGGAGACAAACATGGGCTGCTAAAGATCAATTCTAACACAGATCTTCACGGGTAGACAAACATGGACTGCTAAAGACCAATTCTAACACAGATCTTCACGGGTAGACAAACATGGACTGCTAAAGACCAATTCTAACACAGATCTTCACGGGTAGACAAACATGGACTGCTTAAGATCAATTCTAACACAGATCTTCATGGGTAGACAAACATGGACTGCTAAAGACCAATTCTAACACAGATCTTCGCGGGGAGACAAACATGGGCTGCTAAAGATCAATTCTAACACAGATCTTCACGGGTAGACAAACATGGACTGCTAAAGACCAATTCTAACACAGATCTTCACGGGTAGACAAACATGGACTGCTAAAGACCAATTCTAACACAGATCTTCACGGGGAGACAAACATGGACTGCTAAAGACCAATTCTAACACAGATCTTCACGGGTAGACAAACATGGACTGCTAAAGACCAATTCTAACACAGATCTTCACGGGTAGACAAACATGGACTGCTAAAGACCAATTCTAACACAGATCTTCGCGGGGAGACAAACATGGGCTGCTAAAGATCAATTCTAACACAGATCTTCATGGGTAGACAAACATGGACTGCTAAAGACCAATTCTAACACAGATCTTCGCGGGGAGACAAACATGGACTGCTAAAGATCAATTCTAACACAGATCTTCACGGGTAGACAAACATGGACTGCTAAAGACCAATTCTAACACAGATCTTCACGGGTAGACAAACATGGACTGCTAAAGACCAATTCTAACACAGATCTTCGCGGGGAGACAAACATGGACTGCTAAAGACCAATTCTAACACATATCTTCATGGGTAGACAAACATGGACTGCTAAAGACCAATTCTAACACAGATCTTCACGGGTAGACAAACATGGACTGCTAAAGATCAATTCTAACACAGATCTTTACGGGTAGACAAACATGGACTGCTAAAGATCAATTCTAACACAGATCTTCACGGGTAGACAAACATGGACTGCTAAAGATCAATTCTAACACAGATCTTCACGGGTAGACAAACATGGACTGCTAAAGATCAATTCTAACACAGATCTTCACGGGTAGACAAACATGGACTGCTAAAGACCAATTCTAACACAGATCTTCGCGGGGAGACAAACATGGACTGCTAAAGACCAATTCTAACACAGATCTTCACGGGTAGACAAACATGGACTGCTAAAGACCAATTCTAACACAGATCTTCGCGGGGAGACAAACATGGGTTGCTAAAGATCAATTCTAACCCAGATCAAGGGGATGTAAATATAGATAAGGGACGATTGTTAACTTCATTCCAGGTGTATTCAACATGGTCACAATGTGACTTTAAACTACAATTGAAAATGGATGGATGCACATGCGTGTGTGTAAATGCACGTGTCTTTGTGTGTAAATGCTTGCGCACGCATATTCGTTTTTTTGTGTTTGAGGTATGTGTATGGGTTTTTTTAGTGTGTGTGAGTGCGTGCGTGCGTGTGAGTTTTTGGGAGTGTATTAATGTGTTTGTGCATGTTGATTTGACTGTCTTTACCTTACGAAAGATCTGTTGGTTGGTTGTTGTTTAACGCCGCACTCAGCAATATTCCAGCTATATGGCGGTGGTCTGTAAATAATCGAGTCTGGATCAGACAATTCAGTGATAAACAGCATGAGCATCGATCTGCGCAATTGCTATACGATGATATGTGCCAACCAATTCAGCGAGCCTGACCACCCGATCCCGTCAGTCGCCTCTTACGACAAGCATTGGTTGCTGAAGACAAATTCTAACCCGGATCTTCACAGGTCACATTAGGATCGGAATTCTATTTCATCAGAAGAAACGCACAAACCCCAGAAAAAGTACTGAGGTAACTGTCAATCGGTGCTTGTTGTCTTTGCAACAACTACGTGCCATGTACATATATCCAATGTTTTACCCCAGAAAATGTCTGTTCATGTCTTGAAAAGGAAAACTCCCCTTTTCATTCCAGCGACGTTGTTTTCCCCTGCTTGTCCAAACAAAATAGCAATTTCAAGTTTACAAAGGTTTCGTGGACATATACAACCGTTAATGAATGAGAGGGGATACAGTTTCATAATGACTTGTGAGTGGAAACCATTGTGACTCATTATGTCCCACACCTGTCTGCGCATGTCCAGGAACTGCATCCTGCCACCTGAACCAACTCTCGCGAGACCTTTGCGCGCCCTCTTGTGGCAGCTGAAAAGGAAACAGGTGAACGTCTTTGTAAAAATAAAAATGCGTACATATTAGTTTAGTTAATATTTTAAAACAGGAATAGTGAGCATTCTTCGTACTTTTTACAGCATAATTCACATTTTCCTCTCAAATGTACACGTTTTTCAGAATTTTAAGCATGCATATAACTCGGACGAGAAATTGATGGGAGTCGGCTGTGGATGACTTGAATGAGATGCATGCAGCTCCAACATGCAATGCACGGGCAGAACGAAGTGAGTCGCAGCAGCGAAACGGATGAGAGAGAAATGGGGATCTCATGGCTGATCTTAAAACGTGAAAAGGAACTTCTAAACCTAAGGAATAAGATATTGTTAAACAGAAAAAATGAATTATCCCCGCAACAACCTTCTCATGATTGATTTATATTTATACAAATGGCTTATTAGACACACAAAATCGTAACTCTCTGTTCATGCGTACTTAGAGAATAGTTGTATTTGATGTAATATGTATAGAAATATTATTTACATAATAGTCAATATCAATGACGTCACATCATTCATTTCATTTTGTAATATATGTTGTATGGACGCGGTGTTGACAGAAGTTGTAAAGTTTGTTCACCAATTCCAATTCATTTTCAAGAATGGAATATGTTTAAACCATAAGAATATCAAAGTGTCTCAATTTGTGTGTGTGTGTGTGTGTGTGTGTGAGAGAGAGAGAGAGAGAGAGAGAGAGAGAGAGAGAGAGAGAGAGATAATGTGTGGAGTGACATTATTCGTGTTATCAGTGCATGTGTGTACAGACAGTGTCAGTCACACTATTCGAGACATCCCCACATGAGTACAATGTGTGAAGCCCATTCCCGGTGTCCATACCGTGATATTGCTGGAATATTGCCAAAAACGGCGTAAAAGGTCAGTCAGTCGGAATCCGACAAGCATGTGTAAACCAATATAAACCTGATTATGCATTACCTTCCAGACTTGTATATCCGGTGCTCGCCATTATCGTTTATATTCGTTTTGACAAAATATCGATCAACCTTTCTTTATATCGGGTGTATCAGAGAGGGAGAGACAACCCGACGTATTCTCGTGGTGAGGCGAGCACGATTAGGAAACAAACAGACCTAATCCCATAATTGAGCGAATCCTTTTACATTGAAGGGACACAACTCCTTACGGGTGATTGTAGCGATTAGAAATGTCGGCCTCAAAACATTAAACGTTAAAGAGACAAACGAATACGAGGGAAAATCTACAGATATGACGAATCAGCGTGCAAATATTCGACACATCCGGACTCGAGTGTTTGGTTTGGTTTTGAAAATTCTAAATTCTCTGGTTTTATCATTTCTGATGAAATGGAACCAGGTTCGCTTTGTCCTTTGAAAAACAACCAACGTTTTTCGTTATTCTTTATTCTGTTCCGCTTCCTCAAATCTTCAGTTGCCATAATTCTCATTAACTGGCACGGCGTCCGATTGTTCCTCCTAAATCCCTGCTCTCACAACACCACAGAATGTATTTAAACACCACAAAAGTGTACAACACTGTAAAAACATCTACTTTATCGCCCCTTATCGCAATCTCAATAATAAATTTCCTAATGCTTGATACAAAAACAAATCATTTCCAAGTCTTATCTCCCGGTGTTGTTTCCAGCTTTTATCAGAAACGATATCATGGCCGCCACGTCTCGGCGACTTTTTCAAAACTACAAACGAGTTTGAAGCACTTTTTACCAATTTCCCATTTTTTGTGTCTCTTCTCGTTGGATCGCTTTCCAAGCACCATGTTCGACCTCAAAGAATGTTTATATTTTTCTTCACCTGTTATTTACGTCCCTTTGACTACTTCAAAATATGTTTTGTTCATTTCTAATTAACTACAAACTTCTCTTTGCAGCGTCTTAATCCCCGATCGCTAACACCCAGCATTAACATATGGGAGCAGAGAGAGCGGGTTTCCCAACACTGTTGATATTGTGGCATGGTGTAAGGCTGTCTAAAGAGAAGACTCTTCTGACTTACCAGCAAATTAGCCTAATTGTCTTAGATCTCTCCGCGGGGTTCGCACCATGAACGGATGTGTTTTCAGTCTTGAGGATAAAACAAACTGTTTGTGTTTGGGGGGTTCACCTGTTGCCACACTTGCCCCACTCGTTAGTGTTTTGTGACGGGGGAGAAGACAGCTTATTGCTGCAAGATGGAGTCCCTGCAATGCCTTTGTGAAACAGTTTTAGAAGACACAAGCACCTGGGAGCGAGACGACGTGTTGTGATTAGGCCACTTAACATGGCCGCTGAACTGCGATGGCGGGTATAAGCGCTGGAAGAGATAGAGAAGCGCGACCAATGATCGTATCATCATATACGATGAAAAACAATATTCCTAAAACATCTGATGCATTTCTTGTATGGATCTAATTACTTTCGATAAATAGGCCTCACGCCCATTGTACATGTGTAAAAACAATACACCTTACCGCGTAAATGTCATTCTGGAATATTTGTGATACCATTCCATTGCAACTGAAGTTCAGGCTTCCAGTGCGTCAAAGGGTTCAGAATCTGACAAATGAAATGTTCCACTGTTTGTTGTGGAACAAACTCAGCAACATTCCGATCTGTGGGTACTCGAGTCTGGGCCAGAAAAATCAGTGATTGATATCATGAGCAACAGACCCCACCGTCGGGATGTACGTGGAGTCTACAAGTTCACCGAAGCTGACCACCCGTCCACGTCCGATAAACAGCACAATTTGTTAGGGAGACCCGTGAACATCCAGGTAAACAAACAAACAAAACAACAACGGAAAGGAAAATACAAAACAACCAAAGTATGCTCTCTAATGCCTTCCTTCTACTAGAGACCCGTGAAGATCCGGGGTAGAATAGGTCTTCAGCTACCCATGCTTGCCACAAAAGGCGACTATGCTTGTCGTAAGAGGCGACTAAAGGGATCGGGTGGTCAGGTTCGCTGACTTGGTTGACACATGTCATCGGTTCCCGATTGCGCAGATCGATGCTCATGCTTTTGTCACTGGATTGTCTGGTCCAGAGTCGATTATTTACAGACCGCCGCCATATAGCTGGAATATTGCTAAGTGCGGCGTAAAACTAAACTCACTCACTCACTCCTTCTACTAGATCATATTTCTTGCAATTTTTACCCTATGTTTCACTTCTTTGTAGCACATTTCATAAATTCCTTTTTATCGTATACTTAACTTTCTACTTAGTTATGGCACCCGTGAAGATCACATGCTTGTCGTAAGAGGCGTACCCGTGAAGATCCGGGTTAGAATAGATCTTCAGTAACCCATGCTAATTGGTACAATTAATACTTTCTACAATATGTCGGGCTAAAATAAATATAGCTCAGACTAAGGCACTCTGGATTGGCTCTAACACTGGAGGCTGAGACATACTTTGTCAAGACTTGAATATAGAATAGCAAAGAAATGAATTCGAAGTTTTGGGAATTATATTTACTCCTGACTTAAATGATCTGTGGGTTATCAACACAAGAAAAAGACTAGAAGATATTAATAGATTACTAATTTGTTAATGAACTTCAAATTTGGATTAATCAAAACATACAGGAAATACAACTGACAAAATTTCACGTTTGGTTTGGTACTCTAAGTACCAACCCACTTCTTTATCATGCAAAACTGTGTTCCACAGTAGATATCGTTTGTGTGAGATCAGACGATATCTCCTAGGAGATATCGTTTTGACAGTAGATTTTGTATAATGCCCTGTCAATGTTATGACATCGCTGCACTGCAAATCTAATGGCAGTACTGTGTTCAGAGATGTACATTTTTCATTGAAAACTAATGAAGAGTGATTTTTGATGATAAATATCTAATATATCAACACTCGTTGATAAAGGTAAAAATATCCTCGGCAAGCCTCGGATATTTGTTATTTTATCAACTCGTGGTTGATTTATTTGATATCAAAAGACACTCGGGTGAGATTCTCTATTTATCATACAATACGTTCTGCTAAAAGACACATCTATATTTGCACCCTGAAAACATCATTCCTGGCTTAGAAAACTTTATAAAGATTTTAAAAAAACATATTCATGGTTGAAAAAATTATATCCAAAACAGTGTTTTTGATAGATTCTCAAAAAATGGTTTCCTCTATTCCCACTTTTTGATCCAGAATGACCATTATACAAGACACTTGATATGGATGTGCAACAGCTATATTATTTACACATGACGTACATTTAAACCTGCTGTACATCCCATCGCCTAACTTCTATTATTGTACATCCCAATCACCTAATCTCTATCACTGTATATCCGTTACTGGCTTCCATCTGTGGTCATTCGCTCTATGTAAACATGTTGTACAAACAGTATGTATACCCTATTTAACTTTATCCCCTCACCAATCTATTGTATTAACAACTCTGTGGCTTCCTGTACATACTATATATACCTCTGTAACTATTCACTGTCATTCACCCAATGAAGGGGCAAGTATTAGCCCAGAAACGTCGTGTGTAAATACATGTAATAAAGAAGTTGCACATCCATATCAAGTGTGTTGTATTACCCTACCAACTTCTAAATGCCTATCAACTGACTGACTGAGTTTTGTTTTACGCCGCTTTTAGCAATATTCCAGCAATATCACGGCGGGGGACACCAGAAATGGGCTTAACACATTGTGCCCATGTGGGGAATCGAACCCGGGTTTTCGGTGTGACGAGCCAACGCTTTAACCACTAGGCTACCCCACCGCCCCTAAATGCCTATCAAACATCTGAATGACGATTGTTAACCGCTGAAATTCGATATGCAATATATACATTATGTATCAGCCATGTATACTCGCATATAACTACACTTATACTCGAAACTTGTTTTGATGGGAACAATATAAAATAAAATTTAAAAAAAACAAAAAAAAAACATGCTTGTCGTAAAAGGCGACTGACGGGATCGGGTGGTCAGACTCGCTGACTTGTTTGACACATGTCATGGTTTCCCAACTGCGTTGATCGATGCTAATGATATATTGATCACTGGAGTGCCATATAGCTGAACTATAGCCAAGTGGGGCGTTAACTACAAAACAAACCAACAAAAACGAAATATCGATGTAGTCAAGTGTGTAGTTGAAAGATTCAAACAGTCACAACTTCCTGGGGACATATTCTAACTCGGAATCCCAACCATCTATAAGGATCATAAGCTCACCAGTATCGCCGATGCCCAGACGTCTTGGGTGTTTTTTCGACAACGTGTTGCAAATTATGGAGGTTTCTGGAATACCGAAAATATATAATGCCAAACAAAGAGTTAAACACTCTCGATTATACGACGAATCAGAGTCCATCATTGTTGAAGACCAAACACTGATGATGATTATACTTCCCACCTCAGAGTTATTCAGATTTAACGTCGCATTTTAAATATTTTAGTTCAGTAACGAAGGTCGAATGCAAAGCATTGCCACGGGATCCATCGTCGCTAGCAGTGAGTGAGTTTGGTTTTACGCCGCTTTTAGCAATATTCCAGCAATATCACGACGGAGGACACCAGAAATGGGCTTCACACATTGTACCCATGTTGGGAATCGAACCCGGGTCTTCGTTACGAGCGGACGCTTTAACCACTAGGCTACCCCACCTCCCCCATGATAGGAAGACTGACTGACTGACTGAGTGTGGTTTTACGCCGTTTTTAGCAATATTCCAGCAATATCACCGCGGGGGACACCAGAAATGGGCTTCACACATTGTACTCATATGGGGAATCGAACCCGGGTCTTCGTTACGAGCGGACGCTTTAAACACTAGGCTACCCCACCGCCCCCATGATAGGAAGAGGGCATTAACGGGTTTAAATGGAGCTTTACAGTATAATTGCACACTAACAACGTGCAAGCATACGTGTGTGTGCATGTGTGTGTCTCCTGGTCCTGGATGACACACACTAACCCTAGTCCAGCCAGCCTCAGCCAGTTATACACAGCTCCAGGCGGAGTAACAACAAGTAACATATTTTAACGTTTTTGATGGGATCGAACCTCTAGGCAAATACATCGCGTAGTATTTGCTTAGAAACATGAAAAAGGTTTCTTTTCTTACAGGAAGTTTGATACTTGTGTCAGTCGAAAGACGTCAAGTGTTTATCCATCGATTTGACACATCCGTACTTCATCATTGGACAGGAACACACTCTTCACTCGACAATTGTCACTCGCGTCAGAAAAATCACAAACTTGACGCTTCTCCCAGTCACTTTATCAAAAGAAATATTCGCTCAACATCTTTAAGGTCCAGAGATGTTAGCAGATTCATGTGAATACACTTTCAGATCGGAAACAAACTGAAGGAACAATTGTAACAGGATAAGAGTAATACTCCAAGATCCGTCACCCTGGTCCTGCATGTGAGGTGTTGGAACGCTGCTGGAGATGGGCAGGAATACAATTAGTTACACTCTCAAGGACTGTCCACCCGTGAAGATCCGGGTTAGAATTGATCTTCAGTAATCCATGCATGTCGTAAGAGGCCACTAACGGGATCGGGTGGTCAGGCTGGCTGACTTGGTTGACACATGTCATCGGTTCCCAATTGCGCAGATTGATGCTCATGCTGTTGATCACTGGATTGTCTGGTCCAGACTCGATTATTTATAGACCGCCGCCATATAACTGGAATATTACTGAGTGCGGCGTAAAATTAAACTCACTCACTCAAAGAATGTCCAGTCAATATACGGAAGGTGGGTAAGGGAATATGCGGGAGACGAGGGTGGGGGTGGTGCAGGGGGTCGGGGTGATGGTTGACGGGCTACTGTTATAGATAACCTGTGACAGGCGGAGCTGAAGAATTACATTTCATCGCGACATCTTCACACAACAATGCATCGCAGAACGTGAACACAGGGGCATTGTGGAACGGTGGGGTAGCCTAGTGGTTAAAGCGTCGCCCGTCACGCCGAAGACCTGTGTTCGATTCCACACATGGGTACTATGTGTGAAGCCCATTTCCGATGTCCCCGCCGTGATATTGCTGGAATATTGCTAAAAGCGGCGTAAAACCATACTCACTCATCACTCAGACGGACAGTGTAGTATAAGAACCTCAGGGACACTCTTGCAGGGACTAATGATGTGTGTGATAAAGATGTCCAACACACAAGGGGGCGGTGGGGTAGCCTAATGGTTAAAGCGTTGGCTCGTCACGCCGAAGACCCGGGTTCGAATCCCTACATGGGCACAATGTGTGAAGCTCATTTTGTTGGTCCCCGCCGTGATATTGCTGGAATATTGCTAAAAGCGGCGTAAAACCAAATTCAGTCAGACACTCAGTCAAACACACAAACCCCCAACCCATACAACAAGTCAAGGTTTTTCTCAAGGCAGACAAGCACCATTTCCTCAGGTAAATCATTTATACATCAATACAAACACCAATACATTTAAATTTTATCATACACAGCCATCGATCATTCTTCT